CCTTAAATTTCGAAATATCTGCAGTTTCAGGCATTTCTGAAATTTACCGTATATGAAAAGCGGCCGTAATTTTAGTCCGATTTCAATAATTTTCAACGTTTTGCTTTTGTTAGCGCAGTTAAATGAATAACACGACCGTTCGATATAATGCACTTTATTCGAGTGAGCAAAAGAATTCAATTGGAATGATACATAAGTAAAGTAGGATAAGAGAATTTGGTTTGCCCGTTACAATACAGGGTGATGTATAACAACCATACTCCGGCTCAAACCAAATCTTAATAATATTACATTGTTAAAGATTACATTTCATGAAAATTTCAAATTTAATACATTGCAAAAATTTCTGTGTTTCTCTTTTGCGAGAGATTTAGTCAATATATCAGCGACATTTTTCGCAGTGGGAATATACTGCATATCTATCTCGTTGTTGTTGTACTTTTCTCTCACATAGTGGTACTTAATGTCCATATGTTTGCTTCTCTTATGGACGTATGATTTCTCACCGCAAACTGCGCTGCCTGATTGTCAGAGTAAAATGTTGTTGGAGACTGAGTATATTTGGTGAAACCCAATTCGTGTAAGAGACTTCTCAGAAAAGCGAGTTCTTTGGATCCTTGACACATGCCTATGTACTCGGCTTCCATAGAGCTCAACGAGACCACACTCTGCTTCTTCGACTCCCACGCAATTGGACTCCCAGCAAAGAAAACCACATACCCGCTGTATGACTTTCGATCCGTGGAGTCGGATCCCCAATCTGCATCTGTGTAACAAACTAAAACGTCATTGTTATAAACATAGGACAAAGTACCTTCCTTTGCGTTATTTAAATAACGTAACACATGTTTTGCTGCCACAAAGTGTTCATGATGCGGATGCGAATTGAATTGCGATAGCTTCGAGACTGTATACGCTATATCTGGTCTGGATATCATGGCTAAGTAAGTCAACGAGCCAATGAGGCTTTGATACATCTTTATGTCAATAACTTCCGAACAGTTAGCATTGTCACATTTGGACAAAACTGTTCCGCTAGGTAATGGAGTTGACGACGGTTTACAACTTTGCATACCCCATTCCCTTAACAGGTCTTCCTCAAAACGAGATTGATGTACTTGAACATTTCCGCACGCAGAATCTCTGTTAATTTGCATGCCCAAGAAGTACTGGATCGGACCCCTGTTTACTGTCTCAACGTAGTGATTCAACTGCTTAACCACTTGCTCCAAGTCATCTTCGGTAGAACAGGCTACCAACATGTCGTCGACGTATAAAGCGATTAAAGCGATTTTATCGCCTTTCATTTGATAGTATACGCAGCCATCAGTACCACTTCTTTTGAAACCGATTTTTTGCAAAATATCGTCAATTTTTCGGTTCCATTCCCTGCCAGCTTGTTTGAGCCCGTACAGGGCTTTTCTAAGCTTGCACACCTTGTCTGGATGCTTCTTATCGACGAACATCTCCGGCTGTCTCATGAACACCTCTTCTTTCAGCTCACCGTTAAGATATGCTGCTACGATGTCGACGTGATTAACGTGTAATTTGTACTGTGCTGCCAGCGCAAGTATCAGCCTGATTGTGGAGTACCGCGCCACTGGTGCATACGTATCTTTGTAGTCCACGTTGTATTTTTGCCCACAACCTTGTGCCACCAAACGCGCTTTGTGCTTTTCGACCGCACCGTCAGCTCCTCTTTTCGTGTTGAAAACCCACTTACAGCCTATGACATTCTTCGAGTTTGGTCTATCCACTAATTCCCATGTGTTGTTTCGGACTAAGGACTCAAATTCCTTTCGCATCGCATCTTTCCATAAATGAGAGCATCCGTCTGCCATTGCCTCATCCACAGTTACCGGATCGCCCGCCGCACAAGCCGTTACTTGATTCAAGACCTCTTGTGTCTGCTCTGTCACGAATATCTTTCGTGGTCTGCCGACTTTACCCTCTCTTAACATCTTCGGTCGTCCCCGTTTACGTTTAACACCAGCTTCGCCTATCTCTTCATCAGCTTCAGAACTTGAAGACGATACAACTGCTTCTACGTTTGTTGACTCATCACCAGATTCCTTGTTCTCCGTCGGATAGTCTGGCGAAATATCAAATACCGCAAGTTCTTCGACCGCTTCAGCCGCGTTTGAAAACGATTTCTCAAAAAATATCACATCACGAGAAATTGTGATGCTTCGATTATCTTTGTTATACAACTGTATGCCTTCGCTTTATCGGCATACCCCACAAACGTACACTGCAGACCTTTTGGCAAGAATTTTGATTTGCCTGGCTTTTTGTCCAAACACACTGCATCACATCCGAAAATTTTAAAATGGAAAACGTTTGGCTTTTTATTAAACCAACATTCATAAGGCGTCTTAGAATGCAGCATCTTAGTTGGGGACCTATTTCGCAAATATGTAGCGGTATTAACCGCCTCCGTCCACAGATTTTGAGGTAGTTTCGATTCGGCAAGCATACATCTCGCCATCTCCACCAATGTTCGATTCGCGCGCTCCGACACTCCGTTTTGCTGTGGCGTATAACTGGCCGTCAGTTGGTGATGTATACCTTTCACCTTTAAAAAATGTTGAAAGTCTTTACTCAAATATTCTCGCCCGTTATCGCTGCGAAAGTTTTTCACTCTGAGACCCGTCTGATTTTCTGAACGTAGCACAAAGTCTTTAAACACGCTCAGCGCTTCCGATTTATTTTTCAAAAAATATATCCATATATACCGCGAGAAATCGTCTATGAAGGTTATAAAGTACCTCGAACCACTCTGAGATGAGACGCGCATCGGACCGCAAATATCCGAATGTACAAGCTCTAAGCAACCTTTTGTAAAAATGTCACTATTCGTTTTAAATGACGAAACCTTTATTTTACACTCTGCACACGTAATGCAGGATAAGTCTTTCGGTAAATTCACTTTCATACCGCGCACCATGTCTTTGTTGCTAAGGCTTGCTAAATCTCTGTAGTTCAAATGTCCGAATCTATGGTGCCATAATTGGCTTTTGTCGGTTTCAATCACCGAAAACGCGCGCTCTTGTCTCTGTTCCATATGCACTGTAAATATTCCTGCAACTAAACTCGCTTTAAAATAACATTCACCACGATCATCCGTCACACGAGCCATGCTTTTACCGAAATTTACATAGTAGCCATTACTAATGATTTTGCTAACAGACAAAATATTAGAATGCAAGTCTGGCACAAAGAGTACTCCGCGGAGAGTAATGTCTGAATATCGCGACTTCAAAAACACGTCACCCACGCCTTGCGCTGTTACACATTCGCCGCTTGCCAATAAAACTCTTTGCGAACTCTTGTCGAGCTTGTTAAACAAATCAATGTCTCGGCAAAGGTGAGAAGATGCACCGCTATCCAAAATCCAGTGATTTTGATTCGTGCTTAGCTTCTCGCCAAACGCGCTCATCACCTTTGCTTTCGGTTTGTTGTTGCACTCCGCTCTAATGTGACCACGCCGGCCACATGCATAGCATTGCACATTTCGCCTACGAACCGTATTCTTGTTGCTATTGTTGCTGTCACTAGCATAACTCTGCTGCTCACTTCTTTCCAACTTCTTTTTACCCACGTTCGCTGAAAACACTCGTTCCGCTCCACTACTGTCTGAACGATTTCCACGACGCTGCTCCTCTTCCAAGATTTTGACCTTCAATTGACTCAATGTCGGTAAGGTATCGCGGCTTTCTATTGCTACTGTGAAGCTTTCCATGTCGTCAGGTAAACTGCACAACAACAAAATGCATAGGAGGTCTTCTGGTACGGCAATATCTATTTCTTTAAGACTTTCCGCAATGCTGCAAAACTCATTTAATTGAGCTGCCATTTTTTCGCTGCTTTTAATTTGAAATCTAAACAAACTTTTGAAAAGGCTAACTTTCCTTGATGGAGTTTTCGCGCGATAGACCTCATGCAGCTTTTTCCAAGCTTCAGACGCACATGTACAGTGCCTCACATGCAGTAGCTCCGATGGCTTAATGCACAACGTCATCGTTGCTAAAGCCTTCTGGTCATTTACCTGCCACTTATTTTTCACCTCCAAGGTAGCGTTTTCTGGACAAGAAGTTGTAATTGTTTCCCAATAGTCCATGGTTATGAGCAAACTCTTCATTTGAAGACTCCAACTCTCATAATTTTCTCCGTTTAACTTTTCAATATTTAGCACGGAAGAGCCAGTCATATTGATTAAAATTTTTTCTTTAATATTTTTTTTTAAACGACTCGCAAAACAAAATTTAAAAAAAATACACGATAGTTGAATATCGACCGATTTTATTATTTTTACAAACTTATACCGAAACACGTGTTTGTGATGGGACTGGGCCCATAACCCTTGTTAGCGCAGTTAAATGAATAACACGACCGTTCGATATAATGCACTTTATTCGAGTGAGCAAAAGAATTCAATTGGAATGATACATAAGTAAAGTAGGATAAGAGAATTTGGTTTGCCCGTTACAATACAGGGTGATGTATAACTAACAGCTTTTATGTGACAAGCACAATAACCAATACCGAGTTTGGTACAAATTGGTAGAACGGTTACCGATATACTTTGATATAAGTGGGCGGTCCACGCCCATTTTCCAAAATTTTACCATTAAGCGTATTTCTGTGGTAAAGAATTGTTGCAAGACATCAATTTTGAATAAATTAGCTTCAATATTTACTGATTTATCGAAGATTTATGTATTTCTCTAAATTACCGTTATATGGGATGTGGGCGTGGTTATCGTCCGATTTTAAAAAGTTTCGGCCATTTTGTATGGTGTACCAAGGCCAACAACTGTGCTAAGGTTGAAAGAAATTGGTGCAGCGGTTACCAAGATATACACATGTAAGTGGGCGTGGCTACGCCCATTTTCCAAAAATTTATAACACTACGCTAATTTACTCAAAATTGATACACCCCGGCTTACCATCTAGCGGTAGGTTTCGGAAAGGTGAAAAAACATATATTTAATACTTGCGCCGGGTATTTAATGTTCGGCTCCGCCCGAACTAAGACTTTTTTACTTGTTTTAAATGAAATTAATTGCTGCTGTATGTACATATGTAGGCATATACTAAATGTGAGCAAACCACATTTTGCTTGCATAGTCTTCTGTTCTCTTTTCAATGCAGGTTGAATTATTTTAGTATCTATTGCAAAATTTTATACAGACAAGACTAAAAAGTAGAAAAAAAAAACTTTTTAAGTTACAACGGATGCTTTCCATTTCCAGACAACCGGTCAGGTACGAGCATGATTTTTAATTTCGACCAAACTCAACTACAGCGATTATAAAAAGCGGGCAAATGTGATTTTGTATTTCGAAACTGTATGGTGGAAAGTGTGTTCCAATATCTATTTGATACACAAAAAATGATCACGGCTGTACTTTTTGCTGATATATTACATACATATGTTCCATTTAGTTAAACAATATAAGAATATTGTAGTATGTACCACAAAAACGTATATTTTCTATAAAATATCATAACTCAGAAAAAAAAAATCTTCGCTATTAGAGATTTAGGTTGATTGTAGTTCAAAGTGTCTCTTTTCCGGTAAAAAAAAAATTGAGAGAAAAAAAATACACTTTTTGAGAAATTAAGTTTAAACAAAATTTGCACTTTTTGTTTATTGTTAAATAAAAAAATTTAAATAACGATAATCAATAATTATATCATTCTGTCTTGAGGTGACAAGAATTACTGACATTTGAGTAAAAACATTGTTGGAATCTATTAAATTTTGACAAAGTTATGGGCATTTAAAAAAAAAATATTCTCACTGTCAATTCGAATAGTCGATTTTTGCCTGAAAAACAAATTCGCGTTTAATTCGGCAGAAAAATTTTTCCGAGGCAAAAAAAAAATACGTGCATCGGCGTAGCCAGAATGAAATTTAGGGGGGGGGGGGGGGGGGCTCGACCCTATTAAGCTGGCATTTCAGGGCACTATTTTATATATATACAAGGAAAATTTGAAAGTTAGGGGGGGTCTCGAGCACCCCCCTGCCCCTACCTGGCTACGCCCATGAATACGTGTCTCATTATTTGGACCAACAAACAATGTATTTGAGTTTGGTCGAAATTAAAAATCATGCTCGTACCTGACCGGTTGTCTGGAAATGGAAAGCATCAACGCTTTTATAAATGGACTTAAAAGTAGAAAATAATATTTCAAAGTCCCACAGAATTTGTTTTGATAACTTTTGATTTTGAAATTTTAACAATTAATGACATTGAAAATGAAAAGCGTGGGGCGCATGTAATACACTTGAATTGATATGAAAAGTAACATATGTATGTATTTGGGAATATGAATAACGACCGCTTAAAATCGATCTCAAATTTGTACTTTCGCTGTAGAATTGTATGTAATTTGACTATTGTCAATGAAATCGAATGCTTTGTACTGCATGCGCTACACGTTCTTCGTTTTCAATGTCATTAATTGTTTCTAATGACTTTTGCTAAAATTTCAAGATCAAAAGTTACCAAAACAAATTCTGTGGGACTGAGAAATATTACTTTCTACTTTTAGTCCATTTATAAAAGCCTTGAATATTAAGAAGTTTTTATTTTATTTTATTTATTTAAATATTCGTTATTCTCCATTTGAGGTACATAAATTATTTTTAGTCTCTTCAATAACACAAATGCCTTCCCGTAGAGACAAACTTTTGGTTTTAAATTTTTGTATCCAAGCAAAAATGCAAATGAAGTTACGAATTAATAAAAACCAAAACTGTTTTTATGTTATTATTTGTATATTTTAAGTCCTGTTAACTAAACCCCTAATATGTGCTATCACTTTCCATTCTAGCTCCGACTCCGCCCCCAGTTCAATTTCATGTCAAGTGGACGCAGTTGTGCCTGTGAGCAGTTATAACCAAACACCCACCTGGACCACCACACCTATTGCGACAGCTAAAATAACTTCGCCTGCCAGCAAGCGAAAGGCAAACGTTGGCGCCAACAGTAGCGCTTATTATGGCAACGATGGCATCAGCACTTCGGTATTCTGTAGTGGCGGTAGTGTAGAAAATGATCTATTCGATAGCAATTACCCAGATCTGTTAGATATTCCTAACTTCAAGAACCATGTGCACTACTCTGTACCTCCAGGTGCGGGGAGTTCGTCAAATAGAGCCATTTGCACATTGCCTCGGAAACTTAAAACCAGCGGTAAATACTTTAAAAGCTCCTCGGATAGTCAATCCCTGTTGCTGGCGGAAAATTCCAGCAAATATGGTAGCAGCACATTGGGAGATGACAGTTTCCTAAACGAGCTAACTTTGGGCAGAAGATTCTCAGCTGAGTCTACTTATTCGAATTACGTGGGCACATCTACATATACCAGTCGGCAGCGATCGAACAGTTTCCTTAATTTGATGCAAAGCACTAATAAAGGATGCTCGGCGTTGACCGTTGGTGCGATTAGCGGGACATCAATAGTGCATAGCGGCGTTCGGCGCAATCCCAGTTTGCCTTCATCGCCGATACACAACGCGCATCAACATCAGCGTTCATTCAGCTCAGCAGCTATGCCATTGCTGGATTTCTCCTCGTTTACCTCGTGCACAGGTGTCTCTACAATGCCAGCCGCGGGCGCAACACATACCTCAACAGTTACAGCCTATGACTACCATGCCACGCAACTGGAACGTTTCCTTGAGGAGTACCGCAATTTACAGGATCAGTTGTGTAAAATGAAGGAGACCTGTGAGGCGATACATAAGAAAGATGCGCCAATGCGCATTTCTGTCGGTCATTCGGCAAAGCTGGCCGATCCTGTGATGTTCAATGCGGCACTTGCGGCAAACAATCTACCTAACACGGACCCAAAAGCAACGACGTTGAAGAGTAAAGCGCTGCTGCCGGGACAACCACCAGATCCACCACCTTACTGGCTGCACCGAAATGCAATGCTGAAACGACTGAATGAGTCGGAATCGGAAATATTAAAAAACTAATGAAGGAAGCAGCCGGGTTGGTGAGAGGAGAAGCTGGAGGATAGATGTTCAATCACGAAAATAAAAGTTATAATTCCATGTTTTTTGGTATGCATGTTACGAAAATGATGTCAGTGTTGCCGTAAAGTTGTGCCGTAAAAAAATATTAAAAAACAAGTAAGGAAGTCTTATTTAAGTTGAAGGCGAACTTAATATAGCAGACGCACGAACTAAGTAGTGCTTTTTACCTTTCCGTAAACTACTTTCCATGTTAAACAGGTGTTTCTTCAAGATTGCAAAGATTTTCGATAAGATGCTCACTTAGATTTAATAAAATATTTGAAAAAAGTTTGGAACAAACGATAAAGGGATTACCGAGATGCACTTGTGTACAAGGGCGTACCCAGAATGGGGCGGGAATGGGGGTAGGGGAAGCTACAAAGCGAAGTAAACATTTTCAAAAACCAATAAATAAAAAATACAAAATTGTATACGTAAGATACTGACAAACAAGACTTCAAAAATAAAGGAAAGAGAAGTGCAGTGTCCATGATATTTTTATATTTTTCTTTAAAATATACTAGTCCGGTCAAATTAGACCAAAAATAGGAGTGAAGTTACAAAAACTCCCACCCAGCTGAAAATTGGTAGAATTGTTCAAAACACTATCATAAATGAAATCAAGAAAGTCCTCATCGATCCGATACCTGGAAAAAAAGTTACTCGGGGTCGAAGGTCACAAAAACGGGTTTTTCGCGATTTTCAGCAAAACGGTAAGTTTATCATAAAATTTGTAACCTCGAATGTCTAAATTGACCGGACTATACGTTGCTAACTTTTTATATTTAAAACTATTAAAAACATCACGCGATTGTGTATTCTAAATTTTCTCAATATATATATATCGCGCGAATATTACTTTCAGTTGAAATTATATTATAAATATATATTAAGTGGAAGGCACTTTTATGCTCTTTTGAATAAACATATTTTAACATATAGTTAATAACGTATTATTAAAGAAAAATATAAACAAATAAAATTTAAAACTAACTTTTGAATATACCACGTTTCTATATATGGACTAAATAGTCTAAGATCCGACAAGGGCACCCATCTGTTTAATGGATGAAATCTACTTTGTATGAAATTTAACGTGTAAAGAAATATTTCGCGAGTGGGTTGGCTGAAAAAATCCTGGCCAGGATATATTTAATTAAATATTAAAAAATTATGGTTATATTTTCAATTTTGTACTCATTTGTATAATGAACAAATTATATACCAACCGAAAGTATTAAGCCTATGGAATTTAAAAAGGTTGGGTTGTCTATTTTTTCCTGGCCTACCTATCGGGTTGGCAGGTAGGAGTAGGTAAGTAATACTAGTAATTTTCACTCATCTGTTTAACACATTCTATTGGCTTTATGGTTTCGATTGGTATAACTGTAATTTGTCCATTAAACAAATGAATGTAACTTTTAAAAATAAAATTAATTTTTGAATATTTAATTAAAAATATCCTGGCCAAGATTATTTAGCCAACCCACTCGCGAAATATTTCCTAACACGTTAAATTTCATACAAAGTAGATTTCCTCCATTAAACAGATGGGTGAAGGTCGTGCCATTGTCGGATCTCCTACTAAAAGTAGAAAATAATATTTCGCAGTCCCATAGAATTTGATTTTAAAATTTTAGCAAGAGTCATAAACAAGTTATGAGAATGGAAATTAAAAATGCGGGGCCATGTCATAGACTTGCATTTATATGAGAAGTAATATATAGTATGCATGTGTGTGGGTATGTGGATATTGATCGCTTAAAACAGATTTTAAATTTGTACTTTCGCTGTAGAAATTTTAGGTCTATGCTATGAAGTTTGACTATTGAATGAAAGACTTATTGTCAATTTAATGTAATATAATTGTATTGTATGCGCTTCATGTTTTTAATTTTCAATATCATATATTGTTTTTAATGACTTTTGTTAAAATTTTAAAATCAAAAGATAACAAGTTTGCTGGGATATGTACATATATAAATATGAGCAGCAATTAATTTCAGATAAAAAATTGACTCGTCTTGCAGTTCTGCTGCAACTTAGTGTATATTTTTAGGCGCAGTAATAATAATTTGGATATTAGCTACTTCCGGCGACTAGTTCTAGACCAGTTGATAAATATTCGAAGTTCCCGTTGGTCAGCATATTGAAAATATTTTGAAGGTGGTTAAGAACGACCGCAGGAATGCAGGAGTTAATTAAGAAATCTCGTAATATTACAGCCCATCTAGGAGCAGAAATTTCTCTACCACGTTTGGCAGGCAAAAAAAAAAAAAAAAACAGAAGTAACCCCCATCGACGATGGCGACGATCTATAATAATACCGTATCTGGATTCACTAGTGGCCTCTTTACAACTACACTTTTCCAATAAAAAATACTCCAGCTCCAGCTGTGAAGAGGTACAAAAGAACGTGAAACATTTTGAACAAATCTATGATATTGATGTTGAAGCTGTAGAGCTATTTAAAGAAGGAGATTTCTACCAGCGACAAATAAGTGTATTTCCATTCTGAGAGCTTTTCCATGCACAATCGCGACTGTAAATAGATGGAACTGGACTGGAAATAATCGAAAACTTTTCCGAAAATCCGTTTGTTACTACCGTAAAAATGATTTAATATTAAATAGAAATTTTTTAAGAAACAAGTATGTTTACTAAGGACTTAAGGCAATAAACTTTTATGGAAGCCTCACGTTGAACAAAAGTTACACCACCTACAGGAAGACGGTGGACTTGCATATATATGATAAGACTCATAATATGCTATGCAGCTGTAGTGTGGTGAATCAATAGAGCGGAATCCGCGAATCCGCTTGCCAAACTTCAAAGGAAAAACGCAGTGTGCTGCACTAAAGCTTTCCCTACAACACCTGGGGCTGCTCCAGATACACCGCTTAACTTAACGCCACTTACCATTTTTATCTTGTAGGCTTAAAAGAAATGAGTGGCCTTATGATACAGTATGAAGGAATGTCTTTTCAGTGCAAAAAAGGTTGCTCTGGACTAATCAATTTTGAGAGCCCAAATATGAACCGATTTCAAGTTTCTTTTTTCTAAATAAATGATAACTAAATTTCACGAGAGAAATTCAGTTTACCCTATTTTTCAATACTTCAAAATTTTTCCACGAGTTTGGCGTTGATATTATATATCTCTGTACTAAGTTGCAGCACTCTACGATGAATACTTAAAGAGATATGTTGTGTGAAAACTTCAATTTGTTTGGAAGGTGGCATCCCTTTATATATCGAAATTATTTTTCTTTTATTATCATCCTTGGAGGGTCTAGAGTCGATGCCCAAAATATTGGTACAGCTTTTCTCGAGTTTTCCAACAGAGAACAACGGCTTTCAAAATACAATTTTTTAATTAAATTTTTTTAATTAAATGTATCCTATAGAAAAATATTTATGAATATTTTTTTAAATAATTACAGGCATTTGAAATTAATTTCAAGTATTTTCCAAAAAAAAATTTATTCTTATTCTTATTTTTTAACATAAATAAACAAAAAACTAGAGCTTTTGTAAAAAATCGCCACCGATAGATCGACGCGAAATTGTATTATCTTTTATTTAGAAAAAAGAAACTTGAAATCGGTTCATATTTGGGCTCTCAAAATAGATTTGTTCACATCAAGCTTTTTTGCCCCACTGTGCACCACCGATGCCTTTGCTGAAGAAATATTAAAATGTGTATTATTACTTCTGTATTGATTGTTCGCAGTTTTCTTATTTTTGTAAATAACCGTTATGGGCGTGGTTATTTTTCTATTTCAAAAATGTTTAACCATTTTCTATGTTGGAAAACCTAACAAACTGTACAAAGTGTGGTATTAATTGGTAAAGCGGTTACAGAGATGAGCAAAGTGCCGTTGCAAAGAAAGTAGGCGTGGTCATTGTCTGATTTTCCCATTTTCAATATCATCCATCCCTAGCTAAAGAGAAATACGCGCACAAGGTTTCGTTGAGATACAATTAAATTTTTACTCGAGTTACCGTGTGCACAGGTGGACGGACAGGCAGACAAAGCTTGATCGATTTTTCTTTTAATTCCGAGCATTTTTAAATATATATATTAGGGACCTTTTTTTTGCGACTATTGTTTTTTTTCACTCCTACGTCGAAATTTTGTGGAAAACACATAAAAAATCCTTGAAAATTTTAACCTTTAATACTAACAATAAGTACTCGCCCAAGGCGTGCAAAGATTTCCATTATAAAATACACGTAAACATTGAGTTTGTTTCTTCAAAAGTCTACGGATCAGAGGAATTTTATGGTATAATCTTGGTCAATGGCGGGTTTTCTTCAAAATTTAATGCTGTACAAAAGCGCTTATTGCGGTGTAATCCTAACTCCCACCAGCGAGGTAGTACGGGTCACTAAACCCATTTTTTTTTATGAAATTCTCGTTTTTTTTGCCCCTATCTCGAAAATAACTAGAGCTATAGAAAAAATATCAATGACAAACTTGTAGGACAATGAATTTCCTACAAAAAACTTCTACAACACCAAATCGCTAATATCCACATTTCTTGAGATATTAGACTTTGAATTTGATCAACAATGTCTAAAATTTAGCTCAATAGTCCATGAAAATTCTACACTACCTCAACTTCAAAGCCCAATATATTGAGAAATATCGATGTTAGCGATTTGGTGTCTGAAACGAATTTATAATTTATATATGTACTACCTCGCTGGTGGGAATTAGGATTACACCGCAATGAACGCTTTTCCAGAGCATTCAACTCTGAAGAAAACCCATCAGTGACCAATATTATACCATAAAATGCCTCTGATCAGTAGAGTTTTGAAGAAAAAAACTCAAAGTTTACGTGTATTTTATATGGGAAATCTTTGCACGCCTTGGGCGAGTACTTAATGTTAATTCAAATTAATGTTGTTCAAATTTTCAGGGAGTTTTTTATGTATTTTCCACAAAATTTCGAGGTAGGAGTAAAAAAAAACAATAGTCACAAAAAAAAGCACCCTAATATATATATAATTCCTTTAGACAGTTACAAACACCTGTTATGCGAACAAAGTTACTATGTGCAATTTTGTGCACAACTGCGCTCGGGTATAAGTAATTGTTTACTTCGCGAATTAATTGTAATCCCTCATCCGATTTGTTCAAAAGTTTGTGTAGCGGTTTCCGGGGCTGCTGATTCAAATTCTGACACAAATTAAAAAATGGCGGAAGCAAATTGGCCTACAAATTTGAAAAAAATACTGCTTCAGATCTTTCATATGGGGTTTTTTAGTTTCGTTGATTATGAATTTACCATTGAAATTTCTACCCGTAGATTACACTATGTGACAGTGAAAATATGCTTTTCATGAGACATGCTTACATACATAAACATGTTGGTTAAGTTGAAAAAACTGTATGCCCAAGCCTCCAAAAAACACTCTTTCTTTCTTTTTATATACCCACCAGAAGAGGACATTTTAGTTGCAAGTCTCTAAATACAGGCCCGTAGCTATAGTCAAAATAAAGTCGACTCTAAAGTTAAAAGCAGCTTTTTGACATAACTTTCAATGGGATATCTGTCAAAAAAACCTGCTTTTAACTTTTGAGTCGACTTTATTTTGACTATAACTACGGGCCATAGGTTGTAGCGGCAGCAGTTGCATAACAGGAAGTGTTGTCGATGCAGGTATACATGTATATACGGTGGCATGATGTTGCTGAGGCATTAGCAACATTGATGCGGAAGCAGTGGGTCAGGTTTTGGGGACGCTGTAAATATGAGAGGAGTCAGTACAGTGTCCATAGCTTCGCGTACTAATTACGTAGAAGAGGGTGGGTAG